TTTTTTTTTTTTTTACTTTGAGACAGGGTCTTCCCAAGTCACCCAGGCAGCACTTGAACCTGCAATCCTCTTGCTTCAGCCTCCCAAATACTGGGATTACCACACCTGGTAGATCTCTTTTTCTTTTTCTGAGAGTCCTCCTTTCACTGAGCCATCTCTGTGCCAGAAATCCCATTTACTCCCTTTGTGTCTTGTGGCTTTTTTTGTTTGCTTGTTTTTTGTTTTGTTTTGTTTTTAAAGTCTGAGCAGAGACAGCCCTGGGCTGATTCCAATACAGACTACCAAGAGTGAAAGTCACAGTCCCCTCCGGACCTGTTTTTCCATCTGTACAATGGAAAGGATGCTGGGGCTGCTACCTGCCTTCACTGGGATGGAAAGCACAACGCACTGACCAGTGACCTGAGTGGCCACTGTGTGAAGCACTTTGCTGCATGAGACCTCACGCTGGTCACCCTTGCACCTCTGGAGGAGCTTTAGAAAGCACCAGGAGCCCAGCCTTCCGCAGAGCCTGACTTGGCTGGCCTGGGGCAGACCACGGGCATTGACATTTCTGCACTCTCAGGGAAGGCACTAGCAGACAGGCAGGATGGAGAGCTGAGTCACTGGGTCATTCTGTCTCCCCAGGGTGTGCTGTTGCTCTCTCCACTTCACAGATGGCAGAGACATTGTTTGCGTAAACCCCATCCTACAAGGTAGCAGGACTAGGTCTTAAACCCAGATCTGTCCAGCAGGCTTCCCACCCTGCTAGGGAAGGGATGGCATTTCACTTCCTGCTGTCTCCTCTGGTTTTCCCAGTGCCACAAAAGGCCAAGGTTGAAGCTCAGAGGGACATAAGGACCTGGACAAGGTCACACAGCAAGTCAGTAGCTGGAAACCCAAGCTAAGGTCACAGAGTTGGGGAGCTGGGCTGTGTGCTAGGCAAAGTACCAGGTGGAGTTGGGGCGGTGTCGTGGGCTTTTCCTCACCCTCTTCCACCTCCCAGGAGCCATCTGGCAGAGGCAGCTGCCCTGTACAGCCTGGTGGATGAGCAGCTTCATGTCCTGGCCACTGCATCCAACCACCTCCTGGGAAGGCTGGAGCTCCGCATTCGCCTGGGCCGCCTGGAGGCTGCCGTCCGCCAGGTGCAAGGGGAGGCTGACCGAGAGCGGGGTGTGATGCTGGGAGCCTGATCCCGGTTTCCAGGTGTCTGGAACCTCAGATGTTGATTGGGGGCTTTATCGGCTGCCTTGTTGGGCTTTATGAGGACACTGTATTCATCTTTGCTCCTTAAGTCACTCCAGAGGAAGAAGGGAACTTGTGCCCGTGGGTGAGAGAACTTTTATGCCCTCTGTCCCTTGCTGGGTCTCCATGGATATCCTGCTTTACTATTGGTAAACTGAGGCCAGAAGGGGGAAGTGATTTGCTGGGTTCCCATAGTGAGCTTATGGCGGGCCCAGACCCTCGGCAGCCGATCGCATGCCCCCAAGGAGGAGGAGCTCAGCACCTGGAGGCCACCCCTTTTATGACTGAGTGGCAGGGAGTGGTTAGGTAGCATGAGCCGCGCTCTACCACCCTGTGACTGTGTGCAGGACGCCAGGCAGGCCACATGCCCTCCAGGTCCTGCTCCGCCAGGAGTTTGTTGGGACCGTTGAAGAGCATGCCCTCCCCGTATCTCTTCCCAGAACTGGCCAGGTCTAATAGAGGGTGGTGAATGAGTGGGCTCAAGACCTTGGCCTCCCAGAAGTTAGGGACCTGGTCCGGGGGTGTCTCCCCAGCAGCCCCTCATGTTCAACTTCCCCTGCCCAGGTCAGTGATTGGATGGAGCAGGAAGGAAGCCAGTGCCTGCAGGCACTCACCCCTGGGGACAGAAGTATGGAGACAGTGGCACAAGCCCATGCCGAGTTCGAGGCCTTCTTCCTGCAGGCTATGGTGTGTTGCGGAGGGGACAGAGAGGGTGCTAGAGGGAGTGGGCCTGCTAGGGCAAAGCGGTGCAGGTGGAAAGTGCAAGGTAACTTCCAGAGGCTGGGAAGAGTCAGCTGGGATTCCAGAGGACTCAGCTGAAATGTCACCCCCTCCAGGAAGCCTTCCAGATGGCCAAGTCTAAAGAGCACTCAGTCCTAGAGCAGTTCCTAAAATGCAGATTCCAAGGCCTCACCCCAGACCCACAAAGCCAGTTTTAGGAAGTGGGTGGGGAGGAGCCAGGGGCATAGGGAACTCCCAGGCAAGTGGGGGTGGGGCCTGGGGACATCAGAGACAGAACTGGGGGACACAAAGGAGAAGCCTCAGATACAGACTTGGGGGCCAGCGATTTCCAGAAAGAAGCACAGGGCCGAAGCAAAGGCCTGGAGACTGTCTAAGGCACCATGGCCACTCTTTTACTTGCTGAGCCCTGCAAAGGGCTGCTTTCGGGCCATTCTATGGATGAGGAAACTGAGGCTTGGGATAGCACCACAGTAGGGTAGTGGAGGCCCCAACCACTAGGAATCCCCAGGTGGGAGTGGAGAACAACCTGCTCTCTCCTCCCAGGCTCAGTACCGCCGTGGCCTGGAGCTGTCCAAGCAGGCAGCCCAACTGGGAGCAGTGGCCAGCAGGGCTGGCGAGGCTGAAGGCCAGGGGCTCCCGGAGCTGGTGGCCTTCACTGCCACCCAGCGGGCCTTCCAAGCCAAGCTGACCCACTTCTACATGGCGGCCGAGAGGCAGCGCACGGACCTGGACACGCTGTTGCACCTGCACCGCTTCTGCAAGAAGGTGAGCTCTGCAGCCCGCCCAGCAGACCCTCCTCCAGGGGGCTGGTGATGTGGGGTGGCGGGGGCCTAGATGCGGCCTCCATTCCTTGTGTGACTCAGTCCCACAGTCCTGCAAGGGTCAAGGGAGAACTGGAGACTGGACAGACCCATCCCAACATCTTTCCCCAGAGAAGAGGAAGAGGTGACAGGGCCTTACCCAGGCGGCATAACAAGGAGGATGCGTGAAGAGGTTAGGTTGTAGGGGGGCTACTCAGAGCCTCCTGTGAACACCTCACACCATGACCTGACACCAATGCTGCTCCCACTGCACAGATGAGAAAACCGAGGCCTGGAGGGGGGTCACATGCTCACAGTTGCCCAGAGTGTCAGGCAGCAGGCAGGACTTAAGGCCTCCGTCCTAAGGTTTAAGATGGCTTAAACCTCTGCAGCCAAATGCATTTTTTCAGATAGGGAAACTGAGGTCTTTATGAACAAAGGAGCTGCCTGGAGATCCAGAACCCTCAGGGCTGGCTCTGCCCAGTGTCCTCAGCTGTCCCTCGAACTTGTCGCATGGGACAGGGTGTGGGAAGAGCCTGACCCCCACCTCCCAGCTGTCAGCCTGGCCCTGCCCTCAGGGACAGGGAATGCAGGATGCCTCAGCAGGCACGGGGGACCCTGCTTCAAGCACCCATGCCCAGGGACAAGGGAGGACAGTGCACTCTCTGTCTCCTTGAGGCAGCAGACAGGGCACCGGATGTCAGTGGGGACAATGAAGTCACCACACACACAGCATTCTGGGGCTTCAGGAGCAAGGACCAGGCAGAATCCAGGACTCTGAGCCAGGGCCGCCTGTGTCTGCAGTAGAGCAGCCTGCACTGCTCTCAGCCCAGCTCCGTGGTGGCGTTGGAGATGACAGCTGATGCTTCTGTGGCTCTGATCGAACTCTGTTCTGGTCATTTCCCATCCATTTCATTATCGCCCCATCCTAGTACCAGTGTTATGCCCATTTTGCACATGAGGAACTAGAGAGGTCGAGTGACACTCAGGGTCACACAGCTGGTAGAGAAGAAGAGCTGAGATTCAAAACCAGACCACCTGGCTTTAGTGCCTGCCTTTCCAGGTAGTGAGGGACGTAGATTAGCCGCCAGTTACCTCCAGCACAGGGCTGCTCAGCTTCAGGGTCCTCATTAGCACTGCTCTGGTCACCTAGTGGAGGAGTCATGCCAGGGCAGGCAGGGCAGGGTGCCCGCAGAGGGAAGCTTCTTTCCTTGCTTGCTTACTTCTGCCAATCCCTGGACGCCTCCACACACACCTTCCTGCATCTCCAGGGCGTTGGCACACACTACTGCCCTGCGCAGGAAGGCCTTTCCTGGCTGGGCTGGCTCCTGTCTTTCCTTCCCCCTCACTTTTCCAGGTGGCCTGTCCTGACCACGCTGTTGCTCAGCCCTGTTCTCTCTTCACTACCTCTGTCGCCTCAAGGCTCAATGTGATCTGAAATGATCTTGCTGCTTTGTCACTTGCTTGTCCATCCTGTGGTCCTCTTGGAGGTCCACACTGAGCTGTCATGGGGGCTTCCTAGGAAGCAAGGAAGAGTGAGGAGAGCAGGCCTGGGTGGCCTGTGAGAAGGCAGCATCTGTCGCAGGCTAGAAATGCACCGAGGGAGAGGAGGCCTGGCAATAAATCTGGCAACTCAGGCTGTGTGACCCAGGCTAGGTGCTGTCCCTCTCTGGTCCTGACCTTTTGTTTAGGCCTCAGGGATTGGGCCAGATGGTTTTCTGAATCACATGAGGAACTTGTCCGTGTCTTTCCAGCTTGCTGGAAGGTCAAATCCCAGACAGAGACAGACAGACAGACAGGACAGTCTACTGGCGGGGTAAGCCTCATGTGGGCACCTACGTACGCCAGCTTTGGCACTAAATAATAATAACACGATTGTGCTGCTAATGCAGATTTATGGAGGAGCCCTTTCCTGGCTGGGCGCTCCCATGTAGCCATGAATATGAAGCCATTTATCTACAGACAAGTTCCCTTAATCCACCGAAAGACGGTCTCTGCGGAGGAGATGGTTCTGCCATCCCACAGACTATCAGCTCAATGTCAGGCTCTAAATTAATGGGGAGAGAGATTAGGCTTTGCATGAGCTCCTGGGGACACATGGGCTTCTTTGCAACCTGCAGATATTTTGTGGATGAACTGGGGATGTGCAGAATCATAAGATGGGCAGGGGCACCATCCAGAGGGAAAAGCCTCAGGCCTGGGAGGCTGACTCTCCTCAGGCCTAATTTCTCCCTGCCTAGAGAGAACCCCAGCTCCTCCCTGAATGCTGTATGGTCGAGGGCATTTATTTCTCTGCTACGGGCCTCAGTTTCTTCCTCTGTAAAATGGGCTGCTGGACCAGTTCAGTGTGACCATACGCGAGACCCACAGGACCTGGCAAATGGCATCTGAATCACCTTAGCCAGACTCCTCCCTTAGCACCACCCACAGTGTTACCCCAGTCTGAGGGGCCACATTTACAAGTCTTATGAGGCTTTTCATGAATGTTGCAGCTCTCATTTTATAGGAGCAATAGCCCCAGAAAGGGTAAGTCCTGCTGGCCCATAGATCTGTCGAAGATGCCTGAAGAGCCCCAAGGTGCTCCAAGATGTTGCCAGGTGGTGGGTGTTTGTGGCCTTGTTATCCTGGGCAACAGAGAAAATTGCCACCAAGTGGAGGGTCTCTAGAGTCACGGGCACTCATCAATTCAGCGGAGCAACGCTCACACAGGAAGCACCTCTACTCAGACAGGAACCTGTCCTTGCGCAGCCCCTCAGCCCAACGGCATCCACACCTCCCTCTCTCTTGCCCCTAGATGACCTGGTTCCACAAGGACTGTCAGGACCTGGTGAGCCAGCTCAAACTGGGCAAGGCCAAGAAGGCCAGCCCTGGGGACCAGCGCCGCCTGCACCGCTACCTGCAGCGCTTGGCATCCGAGTTCCCTGCTGAGAAGTTGGCAGCCATGGCACTGCAGGTGGCCTCCCTGAGCCAGGCGGGCTTGGGCCAGGATCTGTGGCAGGAAGCCCGGGGAAGACACCAGGAGATCCAGAGCCTGCTGAAGAAGGCACTGGCCCACTGCCCATGCCCAGTGAACTCCACTGCCCACTTGGCATCCTCAGACCCAAGAGGGGCAGCAGTCAAGGGCTGGGGTCCGAATGGAGAAGTGGCTTCCAAGGGGAGCTGGGACCTGCCCCCACAGGACCCTCTGGGTGTGGATCACTTGCCAAAACCCTGCTGGTCTCCTTGGGCTGCTAGGAGCCAGAAGAACAGAATTTTCCAGGTGGACCCTGCATGCCCTGGCCATGTGGTAGGGGCTGATGACAGCAAAGGCTCCCAGGAGCTTCTGGAGCCCGTCCTGGAGGGCTCTTGCTCCACCCTTTTCTCCTGGAAGCGACTCCCCAGGAAGAGCCAGGTCTCCTGCCCCACCGGGGACAGCCTCTCCTCAGAGGGGACAGACTCTCAGGCATCCCTGGAGGACTCACCCCAGACAAGTCCACCTGCATCCCTCTAGATGGAGATGCCCCTCACGGCACCATGCTCTGGGGTGGCTGGCACAAGACCAGCTGTAGAGAGCGCTGGTCAGCCTCTTGGAGACTTGGCTACCAAACTGTGCTGGCAGGACAGGGCCTGCTTCTGGCTCCAGAAAAGTCCAGGAAGATCCACTGCTCACACATGCAGAATAGGGGGTGTGGGAGCCAGGATCCCTGCCAATAAAGCGTCAATTGGCCCTGTCACTTAGGATCTCTCATGGAAGGTCTGTCGGTACAGATGTGGTCAAGGCTCCCTCTTGGACAGCCTAACGCACTACCCCCTGAGGGGCACCAGGGCCAGCATAGCGCCCCCCCTACTGGGCACAACACCTGGGCTCCTGTCTTAGGATCACCTGGAAACAAATACGGGACAAGGGGGCTGGTGAGATGGCTCAGTGGTCTAAAGCACCTACTTAGAACAAGCTTAGCATAAGCACAGGGACCGCGGTTCAATCCCCCAGCACCACATGCCAGCCAGCCCCGCCCCCTGGTGGGCTGAGCTGGCCACACACACACGCATATAAATAAATAAAATAATTTTAAAAAATGTCTTAAAAAAAAAAACAAATACGGGACAAGGACCCAAATGTCAGTGCTTGCGGCAGTGACCCCAGGAACCAGGGGCAGAGGCAGGGGTAGAAGGTCAGTGGGTGATGGGAGTAAAGCAAGGTTGTGGAGCAGCTTTCTGTGTGGGCAGCTGCACTGCCATCCTGGTGGGGGCCTCAGGGAGAGCAAGGGACACTGGAGCACACCCCGAGCCTCCACTGAGGGCTGGCTGGGTGAGTTGAAGGCACTTAGCAGTTGGCATCCATGGGCCACAAGCTCAGCCTTCCCCTGGGGGTGATGCTGGAGCCGAAGGCCAGCCGTGGACTTGCACACGAGTGAGGACCCCTGTAGCTCCATTTCATTCAGCACCTCCTGAGGGCAGGGGCCCCTGCTCAGCCAGGGAACTCCACAGACTCTTGTCCTTGTACCCTAGAGAGAACCCCTCCCCCCAGTTCCCTTCTCTTTTCTATCTTCCCATGCCCACCCAGGGCCCTCACTTCCCTTTCAGCAGTTTTGTTAGGTGCTGTGGGGGCCGAGGCCATGGAGGTCCAGGAGCAGCGTCCTCAATCAGCTTGTAGTGGGAACAGCAGGAAAAGCCTGGTTCCTGGCAGAGCATCTAGAAGGCTCCATGCCTCTGACTCAGAGCAGCGCCCCCTAGTGCCATACCTGAGCATCACCGTATTGACTATGGGGAGCGGGGTGGCGCTTTGTCTGGCGGCTGAGCCCGGGACACACAGCAATCCACTAGGTCGTGGAAGGGGAAGGAGGCCAGGGTTTCTCTAGAGTTGCCTCAGCAAATGGTCACACACACTCAAGGACCCAGATGGCTGTGAGAATCTCCTGTGAGCTGCAAGATTTCTCCAAGTGGGCGTCAGCTTGCCTGCTGCAGAGCCAAGAGAGCCGTCACAAGGCAGCTTCCTGGGGGAGCCCTCTTCAGACAACTGAACTGAGACTTGGGGTTGGGATGCTGCGGGTGCATTTGCAGCTTTCTTGGTTTTTTCCCACACGGCTCAGTGAGGTGAGGGGTGTCTTTAGCCGTGATCCAGCCTCAAGGCCTGGTTTGTAAACAATAGGAGTTGATTTAGCTCACAGTTTTGGAAGCAGAGAAGTCTGAGGTGGAGGGGCCACATCTGGCAAGGGCCTCTTGCGGTGTCATAACCTAGCAAAAGGCATCACACGGCAAAAGAGGGAAGGTCAAAGTCATCCTTCACAAAGAGGCCACTGAGGCCAGAGTCCTCATGACCTTTCGCCTTGTTAAGGCCCCACCTCTCAACACTGTGGCACTGGGGAGAAAATTTCTAATGGGAGAATTCTGGGGACACATTGACGCCATATGGGGGCATTATTAGGACACCTTAGGGAAACACATCTTCCCTCCACCCCACACCGGCTGCCTTGAGCATCCAGGCAGGCCCAGGGATGCCTGAAGTGTTTGATCAGCCGTCTCCATCCAAGCCTGTTGGTCTCAGAGGGGGGTCGAAGGCTCTTAAAATGCTGCTGCCATGGAAACAGGATGTAGCCAGTGGGGACCACAGGCAGGGAGCTGGAGAAACAGGGGCGGAAGGATGGAAACTGCTTGAGACCATAGCTACTTCGAGGGAGGAGAGGGCTGAAGAGGAGATGAGGGCCATAGAATCTTTGGGTGGAAGGGTCCCAAATATCACCTCATGCCCCCTCCTGAATCACAGAGAACTGTACACTAACAGCCTGTCTACATGCAGGCAGCAGCTGGGGGAAATGAGGTTTGCAAGAATGAAGTATAATAGTGAATAATGATGCAGGGATGTCACACTAAGATCCGACATTTGTTTTGTAATTTCATTGTGCCTAGCTTTGTGCTAAAATGCATTAGAGGCTTGCTGAATGGTTTGCAAATGTCCACGAAAGGCCAGGGGTGGTGTAATCACAGCACTCAGGAGGCTGAGGCAGGAGGATCACTGCAAGTTTGAGACCAGCCTGTGCTACAAAATGAGCTCAAGGCCAGCTTAAGCTGCATAGCAAGACTCTGTCTCAAAAGAAAAGAGAAGAAAAAGAAAGCCCCCTGAAGCTGGTACTAGCTCTCCCTCATTTTCCTAAGGGGAAGTTGTGACTTAGAGTTGTTTGGAAGTGGTTTGCCCAGTGCCATGGTGAGCGGCACCACTGGATTCCCACAATGCTTTGGACCACTTTCTGGCAAGCCTGGGCTGTTTCCTGAATCTTCCATTGTCTCTCAATGCCCAAGGTTGGATGGTCTTGGAATTCCCCAAGAGTGACCACAGAGCTTTGAGTCAGCGAAGCCTCAGTCCCACGGGGTCAGCCTGAGGAGGCCTAGGCCACCATTCCCTCGTGGGACTTCACAACAAGATTTACAGCCTATACTGGTGAGAAGACGGCCCAAGTCTTCCTATGACAGGCTGAAGTGGAACACTTCATGCTTGGATTGGCAGGCAAAGGGGCAAACAGAGGATCAGTGACCTGCGAGCCAGGACCTCAGTGACCCAAGAGGGGCTTCCTCTCTCTAAGGACTGAGTTTCTCCCATCTGTCCAGTGTAGGCATAGGATGAGTAAGGGCCATTCTCACCTTGGGAATCAGCCTTCCTGACCTAGGTTCAGCAGCTGGGTGCCTCTGATCCACGGCTGCCCTCAGTCTCCCCATCCACTCACTGAGCTTGTCAAGCCTGCTGGGTCAGGATGAGATCTCTGGGTCCCTGAGCATGACATCAGCTGCACTCTCTCCAGAGGAGTGGTACCTTGTGAAGGAGCAAAGCTTTGAAAGTCTGAGAGGCAGTGATATGAGGCAAGCACAGGTAGGACTGAGCATGAACAGAAGTCTCAGCACTTTACCGTTGATAAAGCACTCACTTATCTATTCATTTCCTCATCTGACATTTGCCTCAACTCTGAGAAACATGGGAGTCATACTGTAGGATGGTCCTGTTGCAGGCAGCCAAATGAGATACAAGTATTATAGGCAGTCAGACAGGGCCAGACCTTTGAAAGAGATAACACAGAAGACAAGATACCTCACAACGGTGAGAGGGATCAGATGCTCCTGCTATGAGCCAGACCTAAAGGCCAAAGATCAAACAAATGTTAACCTCCCTAAAGATTAGCATCCGGGATTGATCTTCACCCTGAGAAAGCCAAAAAGACTCATTATCTGATGGCTACCAGATAAAGTCCTGTTTTACATTCATGCCCCACTTGCTACATGACTCACTTCCCCATTTGGTCCTGGACTTAATCAATTTTACCTGAGCAATGGTGCTTTTAATCCCATTGATTGATCATAGTTTTTTGTTTTTTGTTTTTCCCCCGGTATCATGGATTGAACTCAGGACCTTGCGCTTGCCAGGCAAGAACTTATTCTACTAAGCCATCTCCCTGGCTATTGACCATAGTTTTGTCTCACCCCACATCCACCTAAGCGAGTTCCCATTTTCTCCACTTTAGCCCTTCATGGTTCTACACTATGAAAGTCCCTAGAAGAGACAGCTTCCCGGGAACAACCTACTTGGGTCCCCCCAATTGTCCCTCTCTCAAACAAGAGCTTTCTTTCGTTCAATAAATATATTCTGCTCTTAATCTCTGTTTGTTCTTAAAATTCATTCTTCCATTTTAGAAAACACACACTTGTCCAGGTCAGGTTGAGAGATCATTTCTCCCTGTATCAGTCCCATTTTGCAGATGAGAAGTCTGGGTCTGGAGAGGGGAAATGACTTGTCCAAGGTCACAGAGCCAGGAAAAGGTCGACCAGGGGAAATCTCAAGTCTGGACATCCCAATCAGGGCTACATTTCCCAGGAGAACACGCACATCTACCTGAGCAGTTGTCTGCCTGAGGCTGGTCCCACATTCCCTGCCCCCTAGTTACCACTCCAGACCCAGACAGGACAGCTGTCCGGGGTCAGGCACAGTCTGCCCTCGTGAAACAGAGCTCTTGTGTTCTCTAGAGGCTGTGAACTGGCACTCAGCCCAAGCCAAGCCCGTCTGGCCTGAAACCCACCCTTTCTCCACTGAAAAATAGCTCTCGGGGGCAGGAGTCCAGAAGCTGGTGATTGTGGCTCTGCTGGACAAGGGACTCCTGGGGTCTTACTCCCAAGGACCAGGTCATTTGGGGGGCTCTGGGCAGTGAAACTGTATCCCCTCAGATCTCATTTTCCCATCTATGAAATGGGCTGTGATAATGGGGTAAAGGAGAAGTATGTGTTTGATCTTTGTTGTAGTTTGGGGGTTTGCAAAGGAAATAATCCAGGACACATACTTTATCAGCTTATATATAATAGTCACCCAAAGAGTCATACAGGAAATCTGTCCACGTGCTAAAGACCCCAAGAATCTAGCTGAGGGCCTAGATGCCATGGCAATGTCCTGCATGAGTCCAGCTGAAGACCTAGAGCCCATGACAGTGTCCCCCATGAGTCCATCTGGAGGCCTAGAGCCCACGACAATGTCCCACGCAGCCCTGTTTCATAGATCTGCACCAGGAAGACCCAAAGGTCAGTGGTGGATGCTAGAAAGTCTGTGCCAGTGGGCTGAAGGATCTGTGCTAGCAGACTGGGGATCTGAACTGGAGTCAGGAAGCAACACTCAGGGTAAGAGCTAGAGCTTCCCCATAGGTACCACAGCCATCCTCAGCAACAGTGAGGTCCTGAGCTCCTCCAGTGATGAGAACAGCTGAGTCCATAACAGGAAATCCAGCACAACAAGTTTCTCCAGGGCACAGAACAGCACACCATCTTCACCCCCGGGGCCAAGGAATGATGATTAATGTAGGGCCCAGGGCTCCTCCAAAGTGAACCATAGCCATTCTTACTAAGATCCTGAGC